TTACGGGCTCAGCCACACTTGATGCGGACCTGAAACTAGGGATGACTATTGAGGGGGAAATTGTTGCGATATCGATAGTCTATTGCAACATGCCCATTGAGATAGCGATAGTCTAATAAGTGACCAACTATTGCAATAATTAGTAGGTTTTTTCACCTTGAATTTCTTATATCTAAAGTCATTTCCAAATGTTTTATAGTTTGAAAACAAGCTGAAGTAGTTTCAGTTTTCCATAACTGAACAACTGCGACCAACTATTGCAATACTAGTAGGTTTTTTTCAATTCTTCATTTGAAGTCATTTCAAATAAATGTATAGTTTATGTGAAAAATGCTGAAGTAGTTTCAGTCTTTAATAATCAATCCGATTGGTAGAAGAACATGTAAAGATGTTAGTGTTGACTATGTAATATGCCTGCATCATGCTTACCTTTAATCATTATTGATCTGAATGTACCTGACTTCACCCTTGTATTCGGATGTACACTGTCCGATAACATTTACTTAGCAATATTTTGCAGGCTCCAACAATGGTGTTAACATAAAGTCAGTAAGTCACATAACCCTCAACGGGGAAGGCCAAGACGATAACCGTGATAAATCCAAAAAGAATTCACAATAACTTAGAGCACCGGCAACAACAACCTGATTAGAAAGGCGCACATTTAGCCAGGCTTCAAGGTGACCAGTCCTGGTGAGAGTGAGGACATCACAGATGGAGGGTGCACTGATACACGAGCAATCCTCGAAGCCAGAGAGAAAGAAGTGGTTAGGTCAAGTCTAAACCGTGGTTGCGTCAAAGAAAGATTTAATAAAGCCAAACGGTGGCGATTAAAAATGAATTCGTTTATAACAACGCGTTTATAGACTGGAGTCTAAGAATTATAAAAATGAAGGATACTAAACATATCAAACTTTACAAAGATGAATAAGATAAAATGTTGAGAGATAAACAGAAAACATGACCCAAAAGAGAGTTTGAAAATTTTAAATGGTAATCAAAATAAAGAGGATGACAATTCCTTTAGACATTGACGCATTTTACGAGTTAACTTCAAATCATTAAATGAACCAGCAATAACGTGAACAAGGAGATAACGATAATACCGACAATGCTATACAGGTTACATGTGATTGTTTTAGATAGGGCCACAGGGAAAATAGGCTTAGCTTATTTCGGTAATTAAACACCAACTCAAGAGGGGTAAGGCATCAGGGATAGACCTTATAGAAAATGAATATTTTATAGATAGTGTTGACTTGTTGGCTCCATTCATTAGTTGAACTATTTAATCTCTCACATTTGGAAAGCGGGTGTTTTACCTGTAACTCATGGTTAACGGGAATAATTAAACCGGATCTATAAGAAAAAGTATGATAAATTTGATCCCAACTCATATAATTTAATAACTCGACTTGAAGGTTTTGGAAAAATTGTTCTACCTCGGTATTATAAGTTCAACCGCCTTTCGGATTTCGGATACTACATTAATGTTTTAACACCTGCCTGCCGGGTTTTTAGAAAATCATTCTCCACTGTTGACAATGTATTTATAATTACTAACGTCTGATGCAAATTTTGAAAGATAGGAAACGAAAACTCTATTGTGCCTTTATAGATTTTACAAAAAGCTTTCTTTGAGATACTATTTAGTGAAAGTGGGATTGTGGAAAAAATGCAAACGATTGGTATAGGGGCAAATTCGAATCTTGTCAAATCAATGTATAAACAACATCAAATCACTTGTACAATGTAATAATGACGTATCAAACTACTTCTCGTAACAACGGCGTCGTCAGACAAGGGGAAAATGTCTGTCACCTTTACTATTCTCCATTTTCATAAATGATATTGAACTCATTTACTTTACTTCAGACTGTAATGGTGTAAATCTAAACTATATTGAATACGTGAAGGACGGTGCTATTTGTAAAGTTGTTAATTTTATTATATGCAGATGATACAATATTATTTGATGAATCGTCAAAGGACTTACAAGATGCTTTTGGACTCATTTAAGGACTATTGTGATTCATGGAAGCTTAAAAGCGGAATATAAGCAAAACTAAAATAGTAATATTCGGGGTAAGGACCCATCGTTAAAAAACATAGATTTCATTTGGATGGAAATTACTTGAAATTAGTTGATAGTTATACGTACCGGTATAACGCTCCATAGAAATAGAAAACTCGTATCAAGTATTAAAACTGTAAGCAATAGTGCCTCTCAAAAAGCAATGTATAGTTTAGTGAAAAAGCTAGAAAATTAGACTTGCCTTTAGACTGTTTATTGTTAGCATTTGACTTAATGGTAGTACCTTATCATGACCTATGGTGCAGAAGTCTGGTCTGTCTTCGAAACCTTGAAACTTTGGAGAAAATTCATTTCAAAATTCTTAAGACTCATTACAGGATTAAGAAATTCAACCCCTCGTTTCATGCTGTATACAGAACTAGGAAGATTCCCTGATTAGAATCATGGGATTTATAAGCGTTTATTAAACTTTTTAAGCACAAGTTAACTTTACCAAGAAGGTGTTTTTTTAAGCTTACGAACTTCTAATTTACAGGTATTTATCACTTCAAAGATCAATTAGATAAAAACATAACATAATCCCTGGCTCGCACGTTGGGTAAAATATATTAGATTAATACTGACTCTCGTATGTTTTTGATAATCCCTCAATTTGTACTTCACCCAGTGGCTGGTCACAAAGTTGAACATATTCTTTAAAGATCAATTTATCCAAAACTGGCACAATGACATTATTTCTAGTCCTAAGGGTATACACTATCAGCACTCCAAAAGCCATTTCCCAATTTTGATGTATATCTCCTCCTTCCCAAACGCAAACGCATTTCTTTGCCATTATTGAGATTTAGAACATGTAACCATAGTTTTACCTATTGAGACAGGCTTCGCTGGAAAAATATTCAAGGGACGAGAGAACGTGTCAACTATGTACTTCTAAAAGCATCGCAGATGAATACCACTATATTTTTCATTGCAAAGCATTAGATACTTTGAGGAAAGAATATTTACTCTCCCACTTGACCTCTTTTCCCAATGAAACAAAGTTCACGAAAATATTATCTGTAAAAACATCTCGAGACATAGTAAATCTATCAAAATATATCCTACATCTATCATCTCTTGTCAGAAAAAATGTTGTTAACTGCCATCTTGAATTTGAATTTGTATTTGTATATATGTTTACAATATATGCTCTTGTACCACCAAGGTGGTTTATGAGAATAAAGAAATTGAATTGAATTGACAAGAAACTTCAAGTAAACAGTTAAAACATAAACTCAATGAAGCTGCAAGTCTGCACCCAAACATCTTGTATTTTGGGCTGCGCATTTATCAACGGAAGTCAATTACTAAACTATCGATAGTCACACATACTATCGAAGCATCGATAGTCTTTCGCTTCTACCATCAATTAATTGCTCTCGGAGACTCAACAATTGCAACCCATTGATAGTTCGATGCATCGTTACAGCCCTACTGAGACATACATGGGATTGAGCGTATGTAGGGATGGGTAGAAGAAAAAGACAAATTGGATAACTCAAAGCTGTTATACTTTCTTTGGAATTATATGTAAACATTCGTTCTGTCTAGGAATAAATGTATATTTTCCACTTTCAACCAAATGTGCATTTGAAGGATATCTGAAATCTGTTGCTTATTTGAATCATATTTACAATTAAAAGACCCAAACAATGGTTTGTTGTCCAAATGTTTTGTTTTCCATGTCTTGTCCCAGTCACAGAACGATATTATTTCCCCTTCCGCCCATCCCTTTACTTGTAATGCTTACGCCCTAAAATGAAGCATGTCTTGATATCCCCAGGTTCCAAGCGTTCGTCATAATCTGCAGGAAAAACTGCAGGGTTCGGCCAGAATTAACATCCCAAACACCACCATGGCTGGCGGGGCCAACATCTTCAGTAACATTTACATCTGCCAACGCTTAATTCGCAAGTGGTGAGGCAATAAGCTAATGATGCTAAGGGTCCTGTACCATGTTTGTGAAGTATCTATGATGCCTTACACGAAGCTCCTATAGTCTTTAGCAAGTCTAGCTATGTATTCACTGACTTAATCATATTGGAAAACACATGGCAACCTATACTTCATTGTGACCACAAGGGTTATTTCCTTTGAGTTAACGGACAGGCTTTCGGTGTCAAACATTTGAAACTACGACCAAAGGTAATGTTATGCTGTCTGCAAATATGGCTTTTTTCTAATGCTTTGGTTGCACTTAATGATAAGTGATTGTTAAATGTACATATGGTGTTTTGAAGAATAATCTCAGCTGCATCAGATACTTTGTATCGTTTTCCCCACTTTCCACACCCGTAAAATCAATTTTCTATATATGTCTGTAAGGAAATGCTGCAAAGAAATGGGATGGCTGAATTTGGCCACCTTGAGGTAGTAATCGCAGCATTCTGGTTACACTGCATTGAGCTCGAGAGGACAGAGCTTGGCAAGATACCAATAAATATGCTTGTACATCATACGTGATTCAATGTTATTAGAGATAAAGAATTACTATTACGAAGTACCAAATGAGTTCGGCATTCCCAGCAGGGTACATAGAAAATGTTACTTGCTTTGTAAGCGGGGTACATTGAAAATAATAGAAGAGCGCTCAGCCAATCAGAAACGACATTAATGTGTGAGGCAAGATAATGATGTATATTCCTTTATATGAATATATCTCAGATATTATGTATAGACTGATGATAGACCTGCCAGTCGGATATTCCGAGTCACATATAGGTAGCAAAACGTTAAATGGTACCCATTGTGGTGCCTACGTCTTGCCCAAAGGTTCACCAACTGCGGTTATCTACCCTTTCCAGGAAATCGACGATTTGAAGGCACTTTTAAGAGTGGAAGATCTTCTGTGTTTCTTGATGTACTCTGCACGGTGAGATGGTTCAGATGGACCCCATGTGTCATCAGGTTTCAGGGACATCTTGATCCTCTGAAATATATCCAATACCATAAGCACTCCGCACAGAAACATTGCTAAAAAAGCCCTTCCATCAGGAGCATTAAAAACTAGAAGCCTTACACAAATCTTTTCGCACAGCTACTGACGACCGCGTTTACAGTATTGCATACACATCCAAGACACTGTCATGAGCTGTAAAAATACTCAAGGACCTGTTGCCATATATTATGAGTCTAGAATGTCATACTCATTTAACCAAGAGTCAACAGGCATATACTGAAGAAAGGTATTACTTCCAGATGAAACAATGACGGGATTACTTCTTTGAGTGTACTCCAATCATGTACATCAACCCTATTAATTGTGCAAACATCAATCACTTACTGTTCTAACTTTACTATGTATATATATACCTTGCCTCAGTATTGTTCATCACTTGCTTGATAACGGTGTTAGTAGCTACACCGAAACGACGCTCATATTATATTAAAGAACTTGCATATCCATAGAACTCTCCTTGTTGTTAACGACGGGATTATTTGCTAATTATTAAACCTATATATTTATCTTGTTTTTTTTACGAATTGCGTAAAGACACATTAGTCTATTCAGTTCCACTTCACACAAACAATTATCACATTTCATTTTTTCAAAAGGAACAGCAACGTTTCAGTGATACGTTTTCAACGCAGTGATGAGCTTTTAATCACCGTAGATTACTATATGTATCACCATTCAAATGATAAAATAGATCTAAAGAGGTGAGGTGATATGGTTTATAACGTCACTTTCAAGACTCATGCACTTTCACGGCGACATGCGGATACGAATTGATCTTCAGCAACCCATGCATGTTATAACTCGACTAACGGGATCTCTGATTTTGTTGACACATGTCATTGTATCCCAATTTATGCGTAGATTGATGCCCATGTTGTTGGTCACTGGATTGTCTAGTCCAGGCTCGATAATTTACAGACCGCTGCCAAATAGCTGAAATATTGCTGAGTGCGGCGTTAAACAACAAAGAAATAATGGAAACTGTTTCATTGAGAATGTTGATACCTTTAAACCGAATTACCTGAAAAACACCTCCTTTCCTTTCCTACGGTAAAGAGCGAGAAACATCATTATTATCACAGGCATCAAGGGAATCGAAGCGATTATCCATCCTATTACAGTCGAGTAATAAGGATACACATATTCTCCATATGTTGGTGATTTATACTGGGCGAAAGTGAAAACAACAGTCATCTGAAAAATGAAAAATCAAATATGAAAGAACATACACACACACACGCAACAAATACACACAACACACATAATAAACACACATACAGACGTATATATGTCACTGTGTGTATTGTTTAGCATCAGACCCTTTCAAGCGTATTTTGTAAAGAAACCTTGGTAGATCTTTCCAAAGCTTCCAGGCAGGCATATATTTGTTTCAATTGAACAACTGACTTGCCTTTGTGTGTGTTTATGATGCGTGCTATCGTTTGGACAGGAACCGCTTACCTATTCGCGAACACTTGGTATCATCACTGTGTTATAGCGATCCCTAAAAACGTTTGAATCTAACAATGGTTACTATTTATAGAATCTATTTCTTATGGGATGGAAATGAAATTGTTGCTTGTATATATTCCCTGAGGTCATAAAGAGGCGATTCCATGAAATACGTTGATACCTACCAGGAGCATTGCTGGTGTAATGTAACACCATGTGATCTTGAAGAATAGGGGTGCTGGTCTGCCAATCATCAGTTGTATGTCGTCACTGAAACGGTCAATACCTACAAAGATAGACACAATATTAGAAAGAGTTTTCGACAAATGGTAGTTGAGATAGAAAAAGTATAATACTTTATTGACAACAACTTCTTGATTTATTATGACGCGACGTTTCGGTATAGCTTCCTATACCGTTGTCAAGCAAGAGTGATCATCATAATGAATAAAGAAGTTGTTATCCATAAGGTATTATACTTTTTCTATTTTCCATCAACTTCTAAAATGCCAGGTAGTTGAGATATCAACATCTGAGCTCGTAATTCCCTGACTTCTATTTAGCTCGGCGACTGGCGGTACTGCGCTGTCTTATAGCGAGAGAACCGCAATGCACGTAAGGTAACAAACATTTGTTATGAAAAATTGTAAAATGGCTGGCGCTGCGGAAGAATGCTTTCCCTTCTCGCTAACAACTCGTGACATCACTGATATTCAGTGATCCAATTATATATTTTATTCCCGCATGTTGCAGTGCTAAAACTTGCTACCTCTGTAATGAAAATAACGACCAAATAAACCTTCCCAAAGTACACCCGACAGTTATTGAATCCTATTTGCAGGGACATTGTGTAAGGGTTCTCTGTTTCTTTGACAAATCGGGGTCCGTAAGTCAGAATTAGTGACATTAAAGGATATCCTCTAATGAACTTATTCCCAACTGACGAAATTAAACGAAATGTGTGTATTCTCTAGGTACTGGTCCAGATCAGCGTTGAGGCATTATTATTGCAAGAATCTGTCTTCACGACAGGTCCTTGTTACAACTGATCTCCGGCAACCCATGCTTGTCGCCTATGAATATCTGGGTTAGAATTGGTCTTCAGCAAACTCATGTTTGCAGTAAGAGGCAACTAACGGGGATGGGCAAGTCATGCTCTATGAGTGAGTGAGTGAGTTTAGTTTTACGCCGCACTCAGCAATATTTTAGCTATATGGCGGCGGTCTGTAAATAATCGAGTCTGGACCAGACAATCCAGTGATCAACAGCATGAGAATCTACCTACGCAACTGGGATACGATAACATGTGTCAACCAAGTCAGCGAGCCTGACCACCCGATCCCGTTCGTCGCCTCTTACGACAAGCATGGGTTACTGAAGATCAATTCTAACCCGGACCTTCACGGGTCTCATGCTCTGTGACTTCGTTGACACATGTCATTGTATCCCAATTGTGTAGATAGATGCTCATGATGTCAATCACTGGGTTGTCTGTTACAGACTCGGCTGATTACAGACAGCCGTCACATAGGTGGAAAGAGTGCGGCGTTAACATCATCCAAATAAACAAAACACTCTTCAATAAGAAATGTTACATTTGCAAACATCGTAACAATTCCAACCACAAAAACGTCAGTGGCACATATATTTACTTAAAACTGTGGAGCGTTTGTGTGTTTTTTCTCCATTTGTTTACATTGGGCAAATACCTACTGTCTTTTAGAAAATTGAAACTTAAATACTGACATACTTATATCAGATGGATCATTGGCCAGAAATATTCAGTTGATAAATGGACTGGTGTTTTAAAACCATAGGATGTGCCTAGCGAACAGTCCTTACCATACAACCACGACACCATGACACATTCCAGCAACGCAGCAAATGTTATGAAAAGCGCCACAATGTACCAGTCTACAAGCTGGAACACATATTCCACCCTGAAATTAAAGATCAAAATATTAACAAGCAAGAACTTGACGTCATATTTATATTTCCTTTCTGTAAATCACTTCAGTGCACATTGCAATGGTAAACAGAATACCGTGAATTAGGCTACAGTTGAAATTGCACAGCTATCTTTACGTCAAGACATATAAACAATAACACAGTGTTTGTCGTATTCAATGTCATGAGTGAGTTTAGTTTTACGCCGCTTTTCAGCAATATCACGGCGGGTGACACCAGAAATGGGCTTCACGCAGTGTGCCCATGTTGGGAATCGAACCCGAGTTTTCGGCGTGACGAGCGAACGCTTTAACCACTAGGCTACCCCACCGCCCCACAATATCATGTAAATAGGATTGTCGTAGTTAAGCAATACGCCTGGAAATATTAAAACGAGCGGAAAGAAGACATGCAGTCATAATCATCTTTATAATTAAATATATTAATAAACGACCGAGAAATCAATGTGTGTTATTGAAATCTGTAAGAAAACATTTTGAATACGATACGGCTACAGAAAGTTGTAAGGGCCATCCATTTTTGCTTTGGATAGAAGACTTATAGATATTATATGACCACACAAATACAAGCGCACGCACATGGACGCACACACATACGTACGCACGCACGCACGCACGCATGCCCTAACACACACCTCAGTGGTCATTACAAGTCCAAGGAGAAATGACACCAGGCAGTAGACAGCAGCGATTGGTATTCTCCATTTCACTAGGTTGTGGTATTCATCCAAGATTGCCGTCATGAAGGTTTCAACCTGCGAGAACTACCAACAAACATGATTATAGGTGTGCATATGTCAAATTTGCATGACACGCCACTGGCACGATGACCACTGACTTGGACTTGATACATGTGTTTGTTTGTTATAAGACTATCACATGTTACGCATCATAAACTGACGTACAAAAGAAAGTATACACCGGGTGTTTGGGAATTATTTGAAAAGTGTTGTAATTTTGACTGGCAACTTCGCAATTGGGCACGATATCTGTGGTGTTTTGGCAACATATTAGGAAAGTCTGTGACTTATATATCATTGTAAAAACTCTTTTCAAAACATTTACGTCGCTTTTTGGAAAGTAATCCAAAAGCACCGAATGTGTACTTTCTTTTGTACGTCAGTTTATTTACCTCTACACAATAAAGATTTCAAGATTTTAGGTTAAGGTCCTCCTGTATACATTGTTATTCAGTTCCACACAATCACTAGTCTATTATTTCAAAGTATATTAAAATAAGCTTCAAAATACACATCTGACAAACTTTATGAATAAGAAACGTACGACGTTTCGATACAGATTGTGATACCTGCTTGATAGTCTGTCTCCACAGTCCCTGAACCACATTATTTTCCCTACTGCCAAGCCTCTCTGCAGTGCTAAAGCCCTCAATAAAGCAAGTCTAGATTTCCTCAGGTTCTGAATCTCTTGTCTCCCTAGGGTTCCTTTTCAATTTAAATGGGCTTGTTTGTTACTATCAAAATTATATATATTCAGGGACTAAGCATTAGTCTACCTGTTTGACAACGGTGCAAAACTCCACACTGAAACGTCGGACTCACGAAATAAAAGAAGTTGTTATCCATAAGGTTTTCAATATTGTACTTCCCAAATAAAATGCCACTCAAAGAAGGTCAAAATACCTAATCTGCAAACTACATTTAATAATGAACCTCACACGTTCTGTGTATTTGTCATGGTCAACTATCATGCTCTGCAACATATGGTCATATGCGCAAAATGTATCATCTGCATCACAAGTGTGAGATATAATGTAAGAGATCTTGCATTCTAACTATGCCAAAACAGAATGCGGAAACACTAAATTTGAGCCAATTTACATCGAGGTCGCGAAAACTGTAACTTTGTCAAACGTGTGAGAATGCCAAATCGTGAAAACACGAGATTAGGTCCAGTTTAGCTCGTTTATCAAGCCCGTTTCGCGAAAACGTCCCTTACAGTAAGATTCTTGAGAGGCATTTAGAAGTTGGTGAATATATAAGACGAGTATATGGATGGCAACTTCTTGTTTATTGTATATCACAACGTTTCTGGGCTACTTCTTGCCCCTTCTTCAGGTGATTTAAGACAGATGCAGATGCATATGCAAGTCGAATCGAACTAATTCAATCACTGGGTAAAATTAGATCAGTGATTAATATCATAATTATGAAAATTATGTTTGAGGTATATTTTACACCGGATGAAGCCATTACCAGCAAAAACAAATTTGTAGCATTGGTGTATTCTAACCAGAGAATCCATTGCCAGAAGGATGATCATGACAAAGAAGATAAAACTCCACAACTGTGGAACCGGAAGATGAGCCAGGGCTTCTGGGTAAATAACAAAGCCCAATCCAGGTCCTGCAAAAAAATAACAAATTTAGAACAAAACAGCCCTCAGGAATACACAGGGAGTGAGCGAATCAGTGAGTATGGTTTTTAGCCGCTTTTAGCAATATTCCACAAATATCATGGCGGGGCACACCAGAAATAGGCTTCACACATTGTACCCATGTGGGGAATCGAACTCGGGTCTTCGGCATCACGAGTCAACGCATTGACCACTAGGCTACCCCACCGCCCCTATCACAAGGAGTGATTAATTCTGGTACATAATCATAAATTGTATAAAAAGTAGATTCCTCACATTGTCGTTTATGTACGCAGGATCTTTCACCGCTCAGCATTTCTTCAGTTGTAATAAAAACTATGTGTAGTCATTGGTGCCACACAACGGCAGTATCTATGTCATCATAAAACGTATGACGTAACAGTTAGTGACAATAAAAGAAGTAAAACGTAGTCATTGGCGACACACCACGGCAGTATCTGTATCATCATAAAGCTTATGACGTAACAGTTAGTGATAATAGAAGGAAAGGAAAACGTAGTCATAGGCGACACACCATGGCAGTGTCTGTGTCATCATGAAGATTATAACGTAACAGTTAGTGAAAATAGAAGAAGTAAAACGTAGTAATAGGCGACAGCCAGCATGGTTGTAACGTCATGATTTTGACGACACAATTTGTGACAATAGTGGTAGGCTTCAATACATTATGTTGTGAGTGTATACATATACATTGAGCTACATACATTGAGCACCTGGCTTCATTTTTCGTTCATGTTGTTAAACAATAATAAAAGGAAAAAGAACAGATGTTCATGTAACATGCTATTTTCAGGTCATCATGGTTGTTGGAATTTATTCCACAATAGACCATGCTTATCTGTGTTCACAGTATATCATACAGAAATATGCACGCGTGTGATCAAGTGAAAGATGATGTAATTCAGCCCATTGTTAGTCATAAGTAGTGTTGGGAATTGGTTGAAATCTCACAATTGATGATTGCTTCATTACCAACGAACAATCATCGAAAAAATTGGTTAGCGTCATTTTTTAGATTTTCCTATCCAGGTTGTTATTGCTGATATGTATAAGATGATGCAACTTGCTACTTTAAAGTGATGACTTATATATCATGAACATAAACTTCCTGGAGTCTTCAAGAAATATTCAGTCATGACTTTCAGTTAGTGAAGTGAGTTTTCTAAGAATTAAACACGTTTTCAGGCACTGACAGCTTCAACGATATGTTCCATTGTCAAGTATTTCAAAGACTACAAAAGTAGTTAAAAAATCGTTTATGTTCGATTACGAGAAAATGTGATCGATTGCTCGGGCGTTTGGTCACTGCGACCAATCTTCGATTATTTCAATTAATCGGAACACCCCTAGTCATAAGAGTCCATTAAACTGGGAACCGGTGATGAATACGGGTTAGAATTGCTCGTTAACAACCTATCATGGGTGTGAGATGCGTCTTATTGGATTGGGTCACCTGGTTCAGTGACTTGGTTGAAAGCATGGCAACCCCGATCGTTGGGATCGGTTTGAATTGCTGCCTGTGAGATAAAAAGACTGATTGTTTGATCTTGACGCGATGATTTTATGGCTGTCGTCAAATACCTTGAACATTGGTGTGTGGGGACATTAGACCAGACACAACTAATATGAATACGTTTATAGAACGTGCCCTAGGTTTCCTCGCTGAATGCACATATCGCTAACAGACAGATGCAGACTGTCATTTCACACGTACAACCAAAGTCACAAATACAGACATGCTAACGCATTCATACTCACACATACACACGCAAGCACGCACGCACGCATGCACGCACGCACACACACACACATTCTTTCCTTTGTCATTCATGATGTGCCAAAATGATATGTACTTACCTGATGACACAACTTCTGTTATCGGCACACTGGCCTCGTGGGACATGTATCAAGTATCGTGAAGACAACAAGACCAGCATACATGCTTGTTCCTTCCACACAGAAGGTACACACGAATCGCATTTCTGAATAAGATTAAAAACAGAAACTATGTACATGAACACAATCAATCATCCACCAAATTCAATCGGAGGTTGAAGTATGTAACTGCATCTGTACATTGCTGCTCTCTGAAGTCAACCATTCATATCACGGAATTGACCCTCTTGTTGTTAAATAGTTAAGAACTCAAGTCTGAAGCCAGGCAGAACATTCTCTTTAAATATCAAGCTTACGGTTGGGTTCAACTGAAAGATACGTTGGAAGTCCCATAATAAAACTGACTGACTGAGTTTGGTTTACGCCGCTTTTAGTAATATTCCAGCAATATCACGGCGGGGGACCTGCCAGAAATGGGCTTCACTCATTGTACCCATGTGGGGATTCGAACCCGGGTCTTCGGCGCGACGAGACAACGCTTTAACCACTAGACTACCCCCACCGCGCCCCCATAATTAAAACTCCCCAGAAGGTTATATATATTCTAGGGGTGGTGGGGTAGCCCATTTCTGGTGTCCCCCGCCGTGATGTTGCTGGAATATTGCTAAAAGCGGGTTAAAATTAAACTCACTCACTCACTATATATTCTATCACAAGTATTGTAGAATACTCGCTTCTGGTTGGTCAGTCAGTGTCAAAATCATAATCAGCGGGGAGATTTGAAAGAGACTATGTTTCAAGATTTTGGGAAAACACTTGATTAAATATTAAGATGCTTGCTTAAAGTTCTTTAGTGATACCTATTTCACGATGACTTACACACGTTCAACGCCTATCATTATGCGAATAAAGGATATTTTCAATGTTTGTGAATTTTCAGCGACATGCTTTGCCAAATGCTTTGATTCCGACCACTGATTTGCAAAAGCTTGTCAATAAGCGGACAAATAGTCTATCTGAGACTCTGTTATTGCCTTCGACAATCTGCTTTTTCTTTCAGTAGAATCTAACTGCAAATAGAGATTCCACTGCCACTGAGATTTCTTCCAAATTGACCCTACAAATACCAAAGAAATCCTCTCAAACTGAACTTTGAAATCCCACTTGAACATCTATCAAAATGGGCCTTGAAATGCCGTTGAGATTCCTTTCCAAAGTATCAGTGAGATCCCTTTATATTGAACTTGATATGTCAGTGAGATCCTATTAAAACGTAACCTTGAAAATGCCGGTGACAAGGCTTTCAAAATGAAACATGACATTCTGGATGTTGACTGTCCTGGTATTACCTGAGACAGTTTGTGTTGAACTTGGTGTAGCTCGACATGGTAATGATACAACCCCAGGCCGGACCCAGGGAGTAGAACACCTGGAGACACGCCTCTAACCACACCTGATGAAGAAGAGAATATTACCTCAGGATTATCTTCTTATGCAAATTGAATGATGGTGGAAGATCATCTGGAGAAGTAAAATTCTTGAGAGAACGTCGTATAAAAATATTCTTTAGGTTGTTAAACGTAAGTACGGCTTGAGTCCTGACGACTTGACTGTGCCCAGAAGCCTTTCTCGTTTTCCTGATACTGTATTGGGCTGTGCAGTATTAGACATTCAAAATTGACTTTTTCTTTAAAACAATATTATCAAAGGAAGGTATCAATGGAAAGGTAAGTCGATCATTGAAATACTGCTGCTATCAGTCATCAGCATAACATAGTAATTAAAGTTTTCCCCAGAAATATTATTGAGAAAATATTTGTTTCCTTATACTGATAACAACATTTTAAAATAGGTGTTACATTATGTAGTAAGGCACTCAATGTGGGAGGCAACTCTTGTAGACTTAAGAACGAACCTAAATACATCAAGATTTATCTCCCCTGATGTAGCAGACGGCTTCTTTTGTTGATATGGCAGATTTGACAGCAGAAAAGAAAAGAAAGCTGGTTCTAAATGATTTTGAAATGGGCGTGAAAAATACTAAAGAGTTAGATGGTAGACATGACATTCCTCTGTCTACAGTATACAGAACTTGGATGAATATTCAGTCAGGAATTGGGATTGAGCAGAAGACAGCGGCAGGGAGGCCAAGGAAGTTCAGTACTACGGATCGCCGGCGACTTGGTCAGATTGTGTGTAGGGGAAAATTGAAAAGCGTTGAGAATATCAGAAATGAGATGATTAATAGAGGAAGTCTTCGGGTATGTAATGAAACTCTTAGACAAGAATTACAAAGACTTAACTAGGTGACCAAAACGCGGAATTCCCTCACCATTGATGAACGAACTCAAAAGGAGAGATGTTTAAATCGGATGAAAGTTCTGTCTGGCTTTTTCCGAACTGTGTGAAAATTTGGACAAAAGATACCGTGTAACCTATCTACCCACACTGTAAAATATTACCTTTGAAATTACAGTCCATCCACTGTTATTTCTATACGTTTGTTACCGTGGCTCCCACGTACGGTGCGTTACCGTCAATAAACCACATATACGGTACTGCCCAGTTAATTTAGTGTATTGTGGGATATGATCCGGGCATTATAGTAGTATCGGCGACATTTTCGGAAACTCTCCTCTCCGATGTAAGAAATGTTTTGAGCCGAATAAGGCACTGTGTAAGAAGTTAAGGTTTTTTGTTACTACAAAAGGTCTAGATTCATGCTGATGTACAATTACCTGTTTACATTTGCTATATTTCTGGCTATCGCACTTGCACGTGTACGGCCAATGGCTACATATTGCTGTGATCATTGCAACTTCAGTTGCGATCGTCCTTTGAGATACGTTTCTCATTACAAATTTCATCGCAATATCCCAAATGTGTTATATCGCTGTTGTTTTCAAACTTGCGAAAAGTTGTTTGTCAAATATTCAGCCTTTAAGTCCAATGTAATAAGATCACATTGCCAAAGGCCGATGATCCATGGTTGCAACTAATAGGGGCACTTTGCAAGTCGTTTAGCTGAGTCAAAAGATTTGAATTTAAAATGTACAATTTTGGATTGTCATAATATATTTGTCAATTTCCCTAAGTTTAGTTGCTCATTTGAAAAGGCATTTCACAAATAATGCAAAAAAGTTCAGTGTCCATTTGAATCCTGTCAGGGAAGCCACCATTTAGTAAGAAATCAACTTTTTCTTCACACCTCTCCAGAAAACATTTACATGATGATTGGAAACAATTATCAAAAAGAAATTAAGCTGTCACTTAATTCTGAAAATGAAAGCACACACGATAATGGTTTTGGAGAACCAGTCCATGCTGTTGATGTTAACCCAGATGGGGATGGAGATACTGCTTTTGCAAATAGGTGAAAATAATCAAGACCAACTGAATGAATCTTTTGATACAGAAACTGTTGATGAATTTCAAGTAAATGAGAAAACAAGCTATGATTTCTAAAAAGTCTTGCTGCGTTTTACCTCAAGTTGCAAGGAAAATATTTATTGCCAGAATCAGTTATTCAAGTGTTGATCACTGAATTTCAAAAGATGCATGAGATAAGTCTTTCTATTCAGTTACAAAAGTTACATGAAAGAATGCAATCAATGAGGGTACCAGAAGACATTATCAGTGAAGTTAAGTCAGAAATCACAAAGTCTGACTTGTTTACAACATGCAACAGTGGACCACTGCAAAGTGCCCAAAATAGAAGAAAACTTTTGACAAGAATCACTTTGTGTATATTGAGCCAAAAGAAATATTTCTTGGTTATGATAGCAACAATAAGGCAAAAACCTACCATTATGTGCCTATCTGTGAAGCTCTAGCCATGCTTTTCAAAAACTTCAAATCGCATTTTAAATTTGGCACCTCTACTGGAAATGCATGTGGCACACTATCAGATATTTGTGATGGAAATGCATTTAAATCTAATGATGTTTTTGCCACTGAAGGTAAACGTTTCCAGTTGATTCTTTATCAGGATGCGTTTGAAGTGGTCAATCCTCTTAGGGCAGCAAAGAAAAAACACAAGCTGATTGGTGTATATTTTACACTTGGTAACTTTGAGTCCTATAAAAGATCCAGTATTGATCATATGCAGTTGGTCATGTTATGTAGAGAAATAGAAATAAAACAGTTTGGACAAAGAAAGGTATTTGAAAAGTTGTTAGCAGACCTGAAAATACTTGAAAACACAGGAATTACTGTGAATTCTGACTCTGGAAAAAGCGTTCTTAAGGGATCACTTATTTGTATTCTTGGTGACAATCTGGGTTCTCTCATATGATAGGGGCTTTCAAGAGAGCTTTCAGCTCAATACTTTTTGCAGGTACTGTCACATGACACAAGTTGATTTGAAGAGCCATAAATTTGAACAGGCTGGGCATGAAGGAAGAACAAAACAGTCTTATGATGAATGTGTTTCACACACTATTGATAATCCTGGAATGTCATGCCATGGTATAAAACAGGTTTCAGTATTTAATTCTCTGACAAATTTTCATGTGCAGAATCCAGGTTTACCACCATGTGTTGGACATGACTTATTTGAGGGAGTTGTCTCTTATGATATGTCACTCATGATAGACTATTTTGTTGGCTTGGGCTGTGTATGTACATGCAAGCCAGTGTTAAGAAAACCATGTGAGTACTGTATGGTGTTTTCAGTGTAGTTTACCTGAACATGCTTAAATTACTAGCCAGCAAAAGTGGTGTTGTATCTGCTGATAATAATTAAAGTGTTCATTTATTTATAATTGTTGTCAATAATGATATGTTTTGATCTGAAGAAAATGGGACTCCGTTTTCATTCACTTATAAGGGAATAGCAGTTAATAAGGTTGAATTGCACACTATCTTGACTGTTGGATTTGCCTCTTATTTTGTGGTATGCATGTAATGTGTATGTACATGCAAGCCAGTGTTAAGAAAACCATGTGAAAATAATTAAAGTGCTTATTTTAAGAAAAATTCTCCCTTTGTCTTTTGTTAATGTTGAAAGTGTGTGTTTAATTTTGGTTTTAAAAGGTAAGTTACAGGACTTCAGTGTAATATGTTGTGTGTTATGATACAACAGTGAAATTCATGGCATCTTTTTGCTTCAGGCAGATTACTGTATGTACTGTAACTACGGTTTAATGCCTGGCAGCTGGTTGCCAACAAATTACCGTACCTACGTGGAAAGCCTGTATCTACAGTGCGGTGCTGTACTTACGGTACAACCATTTTTACTACGGTAATCTGCTGGCAACCAGCTGCCAGGCATAATACCGTAACAAAATCACGGTAATTTTTTTACAGTGCACGCCCAAAACATAGCAAGAAATTTCACATGTGGGGTGGGATATCAGCATGTGGAGTCACGCCGTTGTGTATTTTCACTGAAAATTTGACGAAGGAATGATATGTTGACATCTTAAATAATTACCTCCTTCCAATGGCCAGAAGACTATATAAGGATAATTTGATTTTCCAGCATGATAACGACCCAAAACACTCTGCGGGCAATACAAAACAGTGGATGTCGGACGAAAATGTTCAAGTTTCAGACTGGCCCAGCTACAGCCCAGATCTTAACCCTATTGAGAATGTGTGGGGACTAATGAAGGACAGAATAAACCAAAAAGGACTTAGAAATATTGAGGATATGAAGAAAAAAGTGGTCGAATATTGGGATAAACTGTCACACGATTTCCTACAAACTTTGATTGGTAGTGTACTTCAGCTGTGTATTGCTGGGCAGGGAGGTCTCACAAAGTACTGAAAAGACACTTAGACTGTGAGAGAATCATATCTCAAAATATTCATTTAAGTAAAAAGTTCTATAGTTTATATACATGCATTAGATATTTGCCGAAACAACTTTCTCAATAATCTCTGGGAATACTATAAACCCGCCATGTATCTTGACAGTTTAATAATAATAATAATATACTTGTGACAGGTATGTGGCATCAAGTTAAATATACAATTATTGGACAATCAGGTACTCTTATGAGTCCACTTTAATACGACTGTGGCGGATCCAGATAGGGGAGGGTTCGAACCCCCTGAACCCCCTCTCTGGATCCGCCACAGTCGTGTATTAAAATGAACTCGATAAATTACCTGAAAATGACTAAAGATCACATTGAAGTTAATGTTTTGCAATAGCGGAGCCAAGGTGGGGTTCAGGGAGTTTAAACCCGCATGACACCACACACACACACACACACACACACACACACCCTTTGAAAATTTCTGGATCCGCCTATGCACGACCGTAACTCTGCCTGTCTTTAGTCTGTGAGATAATACCTGTATTTCCAGAAGTTTACTGAAATTTGGGGTGATATAAAATACAGCTCCATCGGTTCCTCCCGGTAGAGTCAGTCCACGAATGAGCAGAACAGTAAGGATGACATACGGTAGAGTTGCTGTTACATAGACGGCCTGAAATATCGAGTGAGTGAGTTTAGTTTCACGCCGCCTTTAGCAATATTCCAGCAATATCACGGCGGGGGACACCAGAAATAGGCTTCACACACTGTACCCATGTTGGGTATCGAACCCGGGTCTTCGGCGTGACGAGCGAACGCTTTAACCACTGGGCTATCCCACCGCCCCATCTCGCAACGAACTGAATTGATATACTATTGTAAAACGGATATGAAAATTAACATTCTCTGTACTATTCGTCTTAATTACCAATATCATTTCATGCTCTGTATTCTCAGTAGTTACACTATGTATAATTTAATGTTCATTTAAGCGAAGGGTATACATCCATTAGATGTGAGTGAGTGAGTGAGTTATGATTTTAAGTCACATCGGCAATATTTCAGCCATATCGTGACTAAAGCAAGTTATAAATATATCAACAATTTAAGTGAAATTATAAAATTCTGCCAACGAAGGACAGTAAAATATCTAGATTATCACAGATATATATGTAAAACTAGTAATTGAATCTAAAACATTTTAACTATAGGGGACAACACAATATAAAAATGGGCTATAGATCGCTAACAACTGAAGGTAGATCACCATACTAGGGACCATGGGGACTTACAGTACATTTGCTTCCTGCATGGGCCCTAGCTGGATTTATATCATCCCCTCAGCCGTTAGCAATTAAGATATATCTAGCCATACATTAAAATTACACATATTCTACGATTAAAAAACGGAAAGTTGAAATTTACTTTGAATGCTTTGGGACTTACGTACCCTCTCAGGAGGACAATAATTTTACAGTACTTTAACCCCCCTCGAGGATACAGCCACTAACAATCTATGGTACTAAGTCAAACTTCCAATCATAAAATATTTAGCTATTTACAAGTCTGTTAACAAAGTTAATTCTTTTAAAAAGCAATAATTAAATGAGGACTTACATTAGTAAAAGATCCTTCATAGTTCGTGATTTGAAATAGATATCCCTTGTGATGGAGTACTCAACACAGTCAAGCAAGACATGCTTGACCGTGATTCTTTCATCACAAGGGATACAAAACGGAGGATCCTCACCTTTTAATAGGTACTCATGCGTATATCGTGTGGGCCAATACGACATCGTCGTAAGATGACCTCTTCAAATCTGGACTGACAACCCAAGTAAGTGTAAACCAATGTAGGGTTTTATTGCATGTAATTTATTGATACCTACTTGGGTGTCCTTACTTTCTTTTGCATCAGATCACGGATATAAGATCTTATAGCAGCTTTGTAATCAGAGTATGGGATAAGAAGTGGTGTCACAGATTTGTTGAGTGCTGCTTTAGCAGCAAGATCAACTCATTGTGTTCCCAGAAATGCCAACGTGGCTGGGTAACCAACAAAAGACGATGTCGCATTGGCCAGTAGCAAGTTCATTGTACAATTCAATAATTTCTAATAAAAGTGGATGTTTGCAAGAAAGATTTTAATAGCCTGAAGACACGAAGAGAATCGGAAAAGATGATATATTGTTTATATTTACGGTGTTTATTAATATATTTAAGAGCTGTTAGTATTGCGTTTGCTTCTGCTGTGAAAATTGAACTGTCATTGGGTAGTCTGGAAGATATTGTTTTGGACCCAATGACAGTGCCACAAGCAACCGCGCCACCATCCTTGGATCCATCTGTATATAAGGATTTATAGGTATTATATTTATTTCTTAATTGACTAAATTCTTGTTTATACTGTAAATCATTAGTTTCGGATTTTTTAAATGAGGTTAATGTTAAGTCAACGTCTGGCCTCACCAATTGCCAAGGAGGAGAAGAAAGAAGACGAGAAGGAGATATATTCTCCAGATCAATGCCAGCAGCAGAAAGGAATGGTTTAATTCTGTGCCCAAGAGGCGGAACAAGAGAAGGCTTTTTGTTATACAAATCCTCATAAAGAGGTGTGAAGACACAGTTAAATGCAGGGTTAGACTCGTTAGAATATAGTTTGGTAATATATTGTAAAGATAATTTAATACGGCGTTGGGAAAGAGAAGGCTCATCAGCCTCAACATAGAGACTATCAACAGGAGAGGTTCTAAAAGATCCACCATTAGATGTGACCTTTTCATAACACCCATTACCACACTAATAGCATGCTACAGTAAACACCTGTGTACTTAGTAACAACTGTTTTGTTAATCGTTTGCTCTTCATTACACCAATGTCTATATATCTGACATGATATTTATACCTTTCCAACAGATCGTACACCTTTCACCACGCATATGAAGATAAGGAACCAGGAAGCCAGAAGACACAACGCCATCTCCCACTTGATCGATCCAATTTCGTCGATACCCTTCGATATCCCAAGCGCCTTGAAGCTGAATATATAAATATGTATGGGTTTAACATCAGTGAGCGAGTGAGTATGGTTTTACGCCGCCTTTAGCAATATTCCAGCAATATCACGACGGGGCACACCAGAAATGGGCTTCACACATTGTAGCGAACCAACGCTTCAACCACTAGGCTACCCCAACGGCCCGATTTAGCATCAGGTTCATGATAATTGCTCTCGTATAGTATGTTTGGCTTTTACCAATGTAGTAATACCAATTTTATTACAAGAGGAAATGATTTGATACTAAATCTTTCACGAATTTAATAAAAATGGTATTTCACGGAAGCGAGTTTATTATTCTGTTTATTACACTGCAACATAAATTGATAGAAACTGCCTACAGTGTGATGACTCTCATATCAATTTTCCGCGAACTGAACCTATGCCGGTTTATTGTCATCTGGTCATATTACATGATATGGGAACGGTTGAGATACCTCCAGTTAGTCTATGGTGCAATGCCTCGACGCCAGCTACACAAGTGTCAGTGTTCCACGTGTTGTTGCAGTTCGTCCAGGGTAGGACGGAACTGAAAGAGGATATGGCGTAGTACATCGCCCAGCCACAGATTACGTTCAGGTAGACGGCAGACCCAACACATATGATCAGCATGCCAATACCGATACCTGCACAAAAATACAAATAACGTGATACGTTGAAGAACTGGTTGAAGAACAGCTTGGTGTTATTCTGAGCTACTTGATTCCATCAACTTTGTCATTAATTTTTCTTTTTTATGTTATTTGGTTACATGTTACATATATAATGTTTCATGGCTATAATGGAAGCCAATTTTATAATATTATTGTTTCTGTTCCCATTGTTTGTGCTAGAAGAGAGATCATAGTGTAAACAAAAAAGGCTGCTGTGTAGCTTAGTGAGTTAGGGGTTCACCTGCCCGAACGCCTTGGTTCGATTCACGACAAAGATATAATGTTTCAAAAAGCAACTAAACTCCTACTCACTCATTCACCCTCTCCTTCACGCACGTACGCACGCTCTTTCGGAAACTCATTCACGTACTCACACACTATACTCAACAATATTAAAAGGTTCGTAATCACTTAACTATTGTCACTTTCCATATTTGCTCTTACAAGCAAACCGTTATGCAGCCTACCAGAGATATAGAGTCCATTTACAGCAATTTGGATGCAATTTGTGCCAGGAAAAACATATCATAGTAAAAAACAAAAACACTGATGTGTAGCCTAGTGGTTTAGGCGAAGGAATGCTTGGGTTCGATTTGCCACATGGTTACAATTTGTGAAGTCCATTCCTACTGTGGTGAATTCTTCTGCGATATCAAAGAGCAACTAATTTCCTACTTCCTCACTCAAGTATATTCAACAATGTTTCAAAGGTTTGTAATCGCATACTAGTAACTCTTATGTCACTTTCCATATTCGCACTAACAAGCGAACTGTTACGTAGCATATATGTTACTGTCACAGTTGTCGCCCACCTTTCATCAAAGGACACAGGCTCCAGACGTGTAAAGGACTCATACTAGTAACTCTTATGTCACTTTTATATTTGCTCTAACAAGCAAACTGTTAAGTAGCATATCAGAAATATATGTTACTGTCACAGTTGTCGCCAACCTTTCATCAAAGGACACAGGCTCCAGACGTGTGAAGGACTCATTCCTGAAAACTGCCCCAGAGCAACCTCGAGAAAGACCAGAGGAAGGCCACACAGCACAAGACACACGACGAAAGGAATCAAGAACGCCCCTAAAACAAACAGACATTTCGTTGTTTTAGTTCAAGTACATATTTCATGCCCTTTTGGAAGAGTAATCCTAAACTGGTTCATACGAATTAAGGTAATTCAGTCAGTAACGAATGTTAAATGACTATAATGCATTTGTATTGGAAAAGCATACATAACACGTGCCGAATAAGGATATACATGGATAATATGAATCGAAAACATGGAATCATTAATAAATATTGGTCAGCTAAATGTTTGTTTGTTTCTTGTTTAACACCGCACTCTGTGGTACTCTGGCTATTAGGCGTTGATCTGTAAACCATCAAATGTGGACTAGGCAATCCAGTGATTGACATCGTCGGCATCGATCTATGCAATTGGGATAAGATAACATGCACCAACATCAGCAGATCTTATGATATTGAGTGAACATATGTGAAGGATTAATTTAAACGTTGAAACAAAACATGAATTATAGACATAAAGTAAATCTTGGAAGATCTTAACAATTGATACCTCCACCGTTTCTCTGGCATATGTACGGGAATCGCCAGACGTTGCCAAGGGCTACACAGAAACCAATCATGGACAGCAAGTATTCTATCTGGGAAGCCCAGTGTTCTCTCTCCTCTCGCCTTTCCATTTGACCATGGTCGGAGTCCTCAGAGTCCGTCAAATCCGTCACAGCAACTTCTACCTCATAATTACCGTTGGAATGCATTCTGTAAAAGATATGTATAGTAGGACATGATCTAACTAACAAACTACAAGGTGTCCAAGGTAGTTATGTTCCAGTAATTAGACGGTACTTTGAAGGTACACAATGTTTGATTCATGTCAGGTAATTAGCGTCGACTATGTCGTGGCTTAATCGTAACCAACACCTGTATTGACTTACCTTCACCTGGAACGACTGTATACCCTCGTTCCTCGGTACTGATAATTAGGGATGAGCAAGAGGTACTCTGTCAGTACCCAAGGGACCTTGGACCTTTCACTGTAGTTCCTTTAGCAATCACAAGCAATTTTTTTTACAGCTTTTATTCACTGTTGGTTTTGCTTGTTCAACCAACTCTATTTGTCACAACAACAAGGCTTCAGTCTCAGTCACAAAGATGGCGCTTTGAGCTTCTTAGTGGGAAAGTTGGTGACATTCTGACGAGAGTGGACGCGTACCAGACTACTATAATAGAAATGTTTGTACCGAGACATTAAAAACTGACACCCAGCGTGATGTATATAATTTACAAATATCTCCATTTACACTGAAAAGGAGCCCCTGTGAACTCGGACATTTTCTTTATGTAATGACTTTGGATTGCAGAAAAGGTTTGGGAGAAAGGTGAAATAGTGCGGTTCAGGGGCTCTTAGACGACAACAGCTGAGTAAGTGTATCACACACGTCGCCCAGTCTGGGGTTTGGCCCATCACAGGGATAAATATATCAATGTCAAAACAATTAAGGATCATTTTTATGATGTTAATTTTCATTTAATCTTTTTTTCAAGGAAATAGAATAACTTGATACATATTGAATAATATGTTTTGTAAATAGATAAGTGGTATTTTATAAATGGTAGTTTAGATTATCATTCTATACGCATGATTTCCCTGTTGGGTGAGACGGACATCTGAGGTTTTTCCTGCGTCATAATAGTTATTCTGGGCACGGTACAACCATAGAAGATATGGACAGGTTTTTGTGTCTTGTGGCGTTTATGCATGGACGTACTGATTGAAATGAACAGCATTTACTGTTTTGGAGTGAAGAATTGTGTGTATTAGTTTTTAGCTTGTCCACACAGTAACAGAACCGTATGCATTATAAGTGATTCGGCCCGAGGGGACCCAGTAGTATCGGCAGGTTCTACGCTCTGTGTAACTAAGTGTTGTGTGTGGTGTTTTAAGTACAAATCTTTTTACATTCTGACATGCACGAAATCATCATTATTCCTGTCAGGTACGGCTGCTTGATGGCTGACTGCATGTAAGAAGTCACCAAACGGTTCTGACAGATGTTGTTTCCACAGCGTTGTAGGTCCGTTTTCTTTTGCCAAGAGCAGTCACAGAGGCAAATGTTCCCTCGAAGCACTGCAATGCCTATTTAGAGGGGAATTAGTTCTTGTTTGTCCTCATCCGAATAACCATGGACCCTTCCACAACGTTCAAATTTCTTTAAACAACGCACAGCCACCAACGTGTCTTTCCAATGACAATGTGTCATGGCCTGAATATATTGATTTTGTTATTACCTGGTTCCCATTCATAGATGTGCTGGAATATGTGGGTGAGTGAGTGAGTTTAGTTTTACGCCGCACTCAGCAATATTCCAGCTATATGGCAGAGGTCTGTAAATAATCGAGTCTGTACCAGACAATCCAGTGATCAACATCATGAACATCGATCTGCGCAATTGGGAACCGATGACATGTGTTAACCAAGTCAGCGAGCCTGACCACCCGATCCCGTTAGTCGCCTCTTACGACAAGCATGGGTTACTGCTAAAGGTTCATTCTAACCCGGACCTTCACGGGTCCTGGAATATGTATTGCATTCGTCAACATTCGCCCTTTTCCGTAAGCTCCAAGAAGACTGGTCCCCCGCTGTTTATGTGCGAAAATACGACAAACCAATCAGAACGCGCGTAATGATTGCGGTGCAGTGATAAAAATAATAGTTATTTAATCGTTTGTGTCATTATGTCATTGTTAAAAAAATCATGAAAAATATACATCGTCATATTGAAAGTACAAAGAAGGTAGATAACAGAATTGTACTGCCTAATGAGAAGTTTTTTATAAGAATAATACGATTGACGGTGAGAGATTCAAATACACGCACGTGCGTTTGTTTGCATAACGGCGCATAGGGGAGGACTGTAAGTGGCTGGGGTGTTGCGGGAGAAGACAATGTTGGCCAATCGAATGGTAGTGGAGGACGGCCAATATTAATGGTACTGCTAGTTGTGGTCGTAGTGGTGGACTCGTAGCCGACATACTCAGAGTAGTCCTAATTATAGCGATAGGGTCCTCATGGCTAGACGGAGTAGACAAATTGGAAGTGGTGTTGGAACTTTGCCTTCCAATGTGTCCAGGCTGCAGCCATGTGTTAAGCATTGTTCATTGACAGGGCACACAGAGGCAGGATTTGTCATCGCTGGATGTCGGTGGAATGGTTATTTCAAGGATGTCGTTCTTTCACAACCCGTGTTTAATAAAACGCAACAATATATGGCATACCTGAATCTGGCCGATGCAGCAGATTTTTCTCACTGTACACAAAAAAGTCCGAAAGTCACAATGTTAGTTCTGTCGGGCCACCGATCCTTTAGAAGTTTGGGCACTCAACACAAAGGGTCCGATTGTCACAATAAGACTTCTGGGTGGCACTTCCGGGTTCCTCACGTATTTCACGGAGTCATATACGTCTATAGTCCCGTCATGTTTGTACACCAGCTTTGTAGTTTACGCAACTGTCAATTGTTCCACACATTGTCAGAGTTTTTGTAACCCCCTTATTGACAAGGCTGCTTATGTCGGCGCTGCAAAGTTTCCATCCAGGTGAAGTATATATACTCTTCCAGTCGTTGCCACCACTGATACAAGAGGAGAACGGCGGCGCGGCGTGATTTTCATAAAAACGATCTTAACGACTCACAGACATGTTTATTCGTGCCACCGCGGCACAACTCTGTATTGTGACTGTACAGCTCAGGAGAGATTTTACCCTGCATCCAGCCACTACGGGTTCAATGTATTTAACTTCGTTAATCAGAAGGTACGAATCGATCGATTAACCTCCAGCGTCGCCTGGCTTAGTCGTAGCCAACACCTGGATTGCCCTACTACCTTCACCGCCGCCATATAGCTGGGATATTGCTGAGTGCGGTGTAAAACTAAACTCACTCACTCACTCACTCACTACTACCTTCACCTGGAACGACGGCATACCCTCTTATTTCACCTGACCTTGGGCTCCTCTTCATTAAAAAAACCGGTTCCTATGACCCCACCATCATCATTATCATTTTACAACGTTAAGTAGTGATTGGGTGAGTTAAAATTTTAAGTCACATCGGCAGTATTTCAATTAGTGAGTGACTATATCAAGTTATATATTAATAACAATTATAGGTAAATTTTAAAAGCCTGACAAAGGACAGTAAAACAACTAGTTTAACACAGGCATAAATGTTAAAACTAGTAATTAAATTTAAAATATTTTAACTATACATGACAAGACAATGTAAAAACAGGCTATACATCGCCACAGTAGTCAGTAACCTTTTCCCTTCTGGTAATCTACTCTTCCCCATCTGGAATCCAAACCCCGGTTCCTGGTTTGGTTTCATGATATATAGTTCGTTATTGGATGTTTCTCACCTGATAAACTATAAACTAAACCGTGTCATTGACCTACTTCCGTGAGTTCAGTCTGTTTTCTCACCACTCCCTATTTCTACCATGCTACTACCGTCTCAATGGTATAAAGTAGCATCAATCTTCATGCCGATCGTCCATATAAACATATATTTTCATACATGTGATTAAGGGACCGGAGAAATCACTTCGCAGTACCCACATTTCATCTCACTCACTCACTCACTCACAATTCATTACATTTTCTTCACATATTACATAGCCCAAGCCCAATTAGATCATTGCTTGAAACCATAATGAAAAAGATCCTCTTCACGTCATACTCACTAACTCACTTCAAGAGTATCAAATATCAAGTGGTTTTGTAAAACTAACCCATGTTCAGTTTCCTCTAATGATGTTTAATAGAAGGTGTTGATATCATAAATCCTAAATCCTGTCATTTTACATCTCGTTCCTTTATTGTGTTGAAAATTCCATCACATCACTAAGAAGGATCTTTTTTAATTGTATCAGTTCCCATTTAATTATTGTATTTTTTAAAGAATTAGATTTGTTAAATGATTTGTAAATAGAAAAATATTTTATGATTGGAAAGTTGAATTAGTAACTAAGATTGTTAATGGCTGTATCCTCGAGGGGGTGGGGTGGGTGGGGGTCGTAAAGTACTGTCAAATTATTGTCCTCCTGAGAGGGTACGTAAGTCCCAAAACCTTCAAGGTAAATTTAAACTTTCTTCCTTTTTTTTAATCGTAGAATATGTGTAATTTTAATGTATGGCTAGATATATCTAAATTGCTGACAGCTGAAGAGATTATGTAAATCCAGCTAGGGCCCATGCAGGAAGCAAATGTACTGTAAGTCCCCATGGTCCCTAGTATAGTGATCTACCTTCAGTTGTTTGCAATCTATAGCCGGTTTTTATATTGTATTGTCAATTTATAGGTAAAATATTTTAGATTTAATTTCTAGTCTTAAATTTATTACTGTGATAATCTAATTGTTTTACTGTCTTTCGTCGACAGGTGTTTTATAATGTAATTGTGTTTATTGTTAATTTATAACTTTTTAAGTCACAATATGGCTGAAATATTGCCGATGTGACTATAAATTTTAACTCACTCACTCACTCACTCCTTTATTGATGAGACTATGAAATATGCTACATGTTCCCGATAACTGGCCCTCAACACATTTCTATACCGTAAAATATGAGCATGATGTCCTTCAAACAAAATGAATCACACGAACCGTTTAAAATAATAAATTGTAAAACAGATGTTTACACGCCTGTGAGTGATTAAATTCCAGGGTTGCTGCAATTATTCACTAAGGTGGTTGCACGATGCTTTTTATTCATGCATGTAATGAGAACGGCGCCGATATGTTTTCTCAATTCTGGTAGGTCTATATTGAATTTTCATCCACTACGTTCTCAGTTCGTACAAACAGTAATATTATTTTGCACATATGGCCCTACCCCACAAATGTCGGACACAACCGGATCCAGGGATTTGATAGTGATTCCTAAACACCTAAACAAATACTGTCAAATCCGTAACATGGGTCATGGATATTTGCCAAGATGAAGAAATTGTTTTATCGAACTATTTTTATTGATATTGTTATGTTAAAATATATGCCTTTGGGAAAAGGCATTACAACACCTATGATTTTACCACGGTTGGCGGAATGCTGGCATTTTATTGAAGGCTGATGCAAAAGATGTCAGTTGTTATCCATAAGCTATCAGCTGATTGGACCCAAAACATCTAATGTAGTTAAGTAACCTTAGCGGTTCGGTCCACCACGACTGGGAGGATACAGCCATTTTGTGAATCAAAAGACTTCAAAAGACTTCATGTCAAGTGACTTTCAGAGTGGCTTTCACATCGTCGTTTGTGGAACAGAATGGTCCTAAATTAGCACCTAAATTAGGCGGGTATATAGACAGCACTGGCGGATCCGGGGGCCTCCCCTTTGAAAATGACTTGAGACCCTTTCAAAATTCCTGGATCCGCCCATGGACAGGCTGGGTGAGTGATTGAGTGAGTTAGATTTTATGCCGCTTTTAACAATATTCCAGCAATATGAC